GCTCCCCCAGCCCCAGACCAGCTCCACCAGCTCCACCAACCCCAGCCCAGCTCCCCCAGCCCAGCTCCACCATGTCCAAACCAAGACCACAGGTAACCCATGTCCCTCAGCCCCACAGCTTTTCAACACCTCCAGGGATGGAGACTCAACCTGTGCCAATGTTTAATGACCCTTTCAGTGAAGAAATTGTTTCTCAGATCCAACCTCAACCTCCTCTGGCACAACTTGAGGCCCTTTCCTCTTGTCCCATCCCTTGTTCCTGGGGAGCAGAGCCCGACCCCCCTGGCTCCAACCTCCTCTCAGGCAGCTGCAGAGCCAGCAGGTCTCCCCTCACCTCCAGGATAAACAACCCCCTTCCACAGTGTGTTTATTCCCACTGCCAGGGATGGGGCAGCCACAGCTTCCCTGGGCAACCTGGGCCAGGCTCTCACCACCCTCACACCAAAGAATTCCCTCCTCATCTCCAACCTCAATCTCCCTCTCCCACTTTTCATCCATCCCCCTCATCCCATCCCTCCCTGCCCTTGTCCCAGGTCCCTCCCCAGCTTTCCTGGAGGCCCCACCCATGTCAGCTCCTCCCAACTGGCCTTTCACCTGCCTTCACTTCTCTTCTTCTAGGAACATCATGATCCAGAAGCACGACAGCATCACTGTAGCAGTGCACAAACTGGCCTCCTGACCCTCAGGAACCTGCCTAATCCTCCCCTTCCCAGTTCCTCCTCACTGGACAACCTCTCTCCTCCAGTGCAGAACATGCTTGTAGCACCAACCCTGGGCTGAAGGTCCTTCCTCTCCACTTCACAGACCCTGAGCAGCTCCCAGGGTCTCCAACTCACATTTTAGCACTTGTGCTGCTGAGGATGAATCGTGGGGCTCTCACCAAGCTCCTGGAATGATCAGACACTTCCAAGATGGGTGGGTGGGTGGGTGTGTGGCCTTATTTCTTGGAGAAATCAATAAATAACCTGCAAAAAGACACCTTCTCCTTGCTGCTGCTGTGGAAGCTGCTGCCTGGTGCTGTGTCCTGGTTGCAAACCACATGAGGCAGCTTCTCCCAGTCCCTTCATAGAACCATGGGATGGTTTGGGTTGGAAGGGACCTTAAAGACCATTAGGTTTCAACCCCCTGCATGGGCAGGGACACCTCCCACCAGCCCAGGCTGCTCCAAGCCCCATCCAACCTGCCCTTCAACACTGCCAGGGATGGGGCAGCCACAGCTTCCCTGGGCAACCTGGGCCAGGCTCTCACCACCCTCCTCATCTCCAACCTCAATCTCCCCTCCTGCAGAGGAATTCCTGCCCAAGGAATTTCTCCTAGGAAATGTTTACCCTCCTCCAGTTAAACGTTCTGGGTCACAGTTACTCACTTACTTGTGCCTTGGATTGAAATTCAAACCTGAACCTGCTGGCCCAGCCTTTGCTGCCTGATCCCTGGAAAATCACCAGGGATCCAGGGCAACATCTTCCCAGATCCTGACAGATTCAAGCAGTTTCATTGATGCAGGGAAACCACCTTTCCCCTGGAAACACCTGCTCCTCTCAGATGTTCCCCAGGTGGAAGGGATTCAAAAAGCACCAGCCTGGAGCTGTTGGGGTGTGAGGTGCAGGGGCAGCTTCAGAGCAGAGAATGAGCCCCTAGATTGGGGAAAAAACCCATGGAATTTCAGTAAAAATTAACAGTGCACATATTGCAGGTGTTACTGTAAGGAAAGCTCCTCCATAGGATATAGATGTATAGATATTCAGGGTCATATATAATATATATTAGAGGCTGGGAGAGTTGGGGTGTTCAGCCTGGAGAAGAGAAGGGTCCAGGGAGACCTTAGAGCAGCTTCCAGTGCCTGAAGGGGCTCCAGGAAAGCTGGGGAGGGACTTGGGACAAGGGCAGGGAGGGATGGGATGAGGGGGATGGATGAAAAGTGGGAGAGGGAGATGGAGGTTGGAGATGAGGAGGGAATTCTTTGGTGTGAGGGTGGTGAGAGCCTGGCCCAGGTTGCCCAGGGAAGCTGTGGCTGCCCCATCCCTGGCAGTGTTGAAGGGCAGGTTGGATGGGGCTTGGAGCAGCCTGGGCTGGTGGGAGGTGTCCCTGCCCATGCAGGGGGTTGGGACTGGGTCATCTTTAAATCCCTTCCAATCCATCCCATCCCATCATACATACATATATATATGTATTTCCAGCCTCTGCCCCTGCAGGCAGAGCCTCCTGCCCAGGGAGGGAAGCAGGAGCAGGATCATGATCCTACAACTTCTCAGGCCTCAGGAACTGCAGGGAGAGGTCAAGCCAAAGGGGGGAGGGAGGGAGCACAAGGGCTGTATTTTCCCAGGACTTTATTCCACTTGACAACGGGGGCAGGGAAGCAGCTCCAACCCCTGCTCTGCCTCCCTCAGCATCTCAGCTGCAAACCCTGAAGATGTTCCACCCTCAGTGCTGCACCTTCCCAGGCAGGGGGGAGGCAGGAGACGCAGGGACAGGGCTCTGCTCCCCTCCAGCCCCCACCCCCCCAGTTTGGCTTCAGTCCCCATTTACCTGGAGTTAAATCCTTCCCCTCCTCTTTTCTCCCCCCCTAGGAATTCTGCTCCCAAAGCTGCGGGTTTCCTGCTCCAGGCTGGGGAAGGGGAGGTCCTTGGGCTCTGGCCCCAGAGGGGAGGAGGATGGGCTTCCTCCAGCAGTCCCAGTCCTTCCCAGGCTCCACGTCCCACTGCAGGGCTGGGCAGGCAGGGCAGACCCCACCTCCCTCAGCAGAAGCCAAGGAAGGGCTGGAATTTGTGGTGCCAAGGCAGGAAAGGGAGGATTTAGTCCCTGGAGCAAAGGAAGAAACGTCTCCTCTTTGCACCCCACTGGCTCAGGGAGGATTTTCCAGCATGGAGCAGCAAAGTGGTAAGGAAAAAGCTTTGGGTTCATCAGCCCTGGCTGCTCCAGGGTCTGGCTGCTCCCTTGGGATGATCCTGGTGCTGCCAGAGGCCCCGGGATGAGTGAGAGGGTGGAAAGGAGAAGGGCAGGGAAGGGAGGAAGAACTTCCCAGCTGGATTCAGACACCCCGTGACTCCAACTCCAGGCACTAAGCAACCCAACCATCACCTCCCAAGCAGCAGTTCAGGGGCCTCTCTCTGAAACCCACCCCCCAAATGAAGTGGTGGCAGGAATTTGGTGGGAAAGAGGAAGGATGGGAAAGGGTTTTCCAGGCTGTGGCCACGTGCAGCTTCTCACAGCTTGGGCAGGAAGGTTGGGCAGAGCTGCAGCCACCGTGAAGGGTTGGGGAGTGGGGGAGAAAGTGTTGGTGTCTGGTTTGGGAAGAGCAGGCAGAGGAAGGGCTGAGGCAGAGGAAGGAAGGGCTGAGGAAGAGGGAGGAAGGGCTGAGGAAGAGGGAGGAAGGGCTGAGGCAGAGGGAGGAAGGGCTGAGGAAGAGG